AAAAAAAAAAAAAAAAAAAAAAAAAAAAAAAAAAAAAAAAAAAAAAAAAAAAAAAAAAAAAAAAAAAAAAAAAAAAAAAAAAAAAAAAAAAAAAAAAAAAAAAAAAAAAAAAAAAAAAAAAAAAAAAAAAAAAAAAAAAAAAAAAAAAAAAAAAAAAAAAAAAAAAAAAAAAAAAAAAAAAAAAAAAAAAAAAAAAAAAAAAAAAAAAAAAAAAAAAAAAAAAAAAAAAAAAAAAAAAAAAAAAAAAAAAAAAAAAAAAAAAAAAAAAAAAAAAAAAAAAAAAAAAAAAAAAAAAAAAAAAAAAAAAAAAAAAAAAAAAAAAAAAAAAAAAAAAAAAAAAAAAAAAAAAAAAAAAAAAAAAAAAAAAAAAAAAAAAAAAAAAAAAAAAAAAAAAAAAAAAAAAAAAAAAAAAAAAAAAAAAAAAAAAAAAAAAAAAAAAAAAAAAAAAAAAAAAAAAAAAAAAAAAAAAAAAAAAAAAAAAAAAAAAAAAAAAAAAAAAAAAAAAAAAAAAAAAAAAAAAAAAAAAAAAAAAAAAAAAAAAAAAAAAAAAAAAAAAAAAAAAAAAAAAAAAAAAAAAAAAAAAAAAAAAAAAAAAAAAAAAAAAAAAAAAAAAAAAAAAAAAAAAAAAAAAAAAAAAAAAAAAAAAAAAAAAAAAAAAAAAAAAAAAAAAAAAAAAAAAAAAAAAAAAAAAAAAAAAAAAAAAAAAAAAAAAAAAAAAAAAAAAAAAAAAAAAAAAAAAAAAAAAAAAAAAAAAAAAAAAAAAAAAAAAAAAAAAAAAAAAAAAAAAAAAAAAAAAAAAAAAAAAAAAAAAAAAAAAAAAAAAAAAAAAAAAAAAAAAAAAAAAAAAAAAAAAAAAAAAAAAAAAAAAAAAAAAAAAAAAAAAAAAAAAAAAAAAAAAAAAAAAAAAAAAAAAAAAAAAAAAAAAAAAAAAAAAAAAAAAAAAAAAAAAAAAAAAAAAAAAAAAAAAAAAAAAAAAAAAAAAAAAAAAAAAAAAAAAAAAAAAAAAAAAAAAAAAAAAAAAAAAAAAAAAAAAAAAAAAAAAAAAAAAAAAAAAAAAAAAAAAAAAAAAAAAAAAAAAAAAAAAAAAAAAAAAAAAAAAAAAAAAAAAAAAAAAAAAAAAAAAAAAAAAAAAAAAAAAAAAAAAAAAAAAAAAAAAAAAAAAAAAAAAAAAAAAAAAAAAAAAAAAAAAAAAAAAAAAAAAAAAAAAAAAAAAAAAAAAAAAAAAAAAAAAAAAAAAAAAAAAAAAAAAAAAAAAAAAAAAAAAAAAAAAAAAAAAAAAAAAAAAAAAAAAAAAAAAAAAAAAAAAAAAAAAAAAAAAAAAAAAAAAAAAAAAAAAAAAAAAAAAAAAAAAAAAAAAAAAAAAAAAAAAAAAAAAAAAAAAAAAAAAAAAAAAAAAAAAAAAAAAAAAAAAAAAAAAAAAAAAAAAAAAAAAAAAAAAAAAAAAAAAAAAAAAAAAAAAAAAAAAAAAAAAAAAAAAAAAAAAAAAAAAAAAAAAAAAAAAAAAAAAAAAAAAAAAAAAAAAAAAAAAAAAAAAAAAAAAAAAAAAAAAAAAAAAAAAAAAAAAAAAAAAAAAAAAAAAAAAAAAAAAAAAAAAAAAAAAAAAAAAAAAAAAAAAAAAAAGCAGCAACACAACAGCAACAGTGTCAGCAGCAACACAACAACAACAGTGTCAGCAGCAACACAACAGCAACAGTGTCAGCAGCAACACTCAGCAACAGTGTCAGCAGCAACACTCAGCAACAGTGTCAGCAGCAACACTCAGCAACAGTGTCAGCAGCAACACTCAGCAACAGTGTCAGCAGCAACACTCAGCAACAGTGTCAGCAGCAACACTCAGCAACAGTGTCAGCAGCAACACTCAGCAACAGTGTCAGCAGCAACACTCAGCAACAGTGTCAGCAACAGCAGCAACACTCAGCAACAGTGTCAGCAGCAACACTCAGCAACAGTGTCAGCAGCAACACTCAGCAACAGTGTCAGCAACAAGTAGCAACACTCAGCAACAGTGTCAGCAGCAACACTCAGCAACAGTGTCAGCAACAAGCAGCAACACTCAGCAACAGTGTCAGCAGCAACACTCAGCAACAGTGTCAGCAGCAACACTCAGCAACAGTGTCAGCAACAAGCAGCAACACTCAGCAACAGTGTCAGCAACAGTGTCAGCAGCAACACTCAGCAACAGTGTCAGCAACAAGCAGCAACACTCAGCAACAGTGTCCGCAGCAACACTCAGCAACAGTGTCAGCAGCAACACTCAGCAACAGTGTCAGCAGCAACACTCAGCAACAGTGTCAGCAACAAGCAGCAACACTCAGCAACAGTGTCCGCAGCAACACTCAGCAACAGTGTCAGCAGCAACACTCAGCAACAGTGTCAGCAGCAACACTCAGCAACAGTGTCAGCAACAAGCATCAACACTCAGCTATAGTGTCAGCAGCAACACTCAGCAACAGTGTCAGCAGCAACACTCAGCTGTAGTGTCAGCAGCAACACTCAGCAACAGTGTCAGCAGCAACACAACAACGTCAGGGTAAAGACAGGGGGGGGGACGCAAATCACTCATATTTACAACCATACAAGTCCTAAAGTCAAAATCAATAAATAAAGTTAAGTTCATGGATCGCCCTTCTAGTAGAGTCGAATTCAATATTTGGAGCATTCACGGGAACCCATACGAAAGATTAAATGGATAGTGAAATCTGGATTCCAATTTATAATCTATATAGATTTGATACAGTAATTAGGTCAAGTGGAGGAGCAGGTCTGTATATTGATTAGGACCTGATATGCACAGAGCTACTAAACTCGACCATTGAGGTGATAGAGGTACTTGGAATCAAGGTAGAAAATATAAATCTAATTATCATTCTAATATGCAAACCGCCAGATGCAACAGTTGAGGAATTCACAGAGCAGATCCACAAAGTAGAGAATATCCTTGATAACCCAGCAAACCCAGTGCCAGATATTGTCTTCTTTGGAGACTTCAATCTACCCAGTTTATAATGGAGAATAGTAAACAATAACATTATAGCAAGAAATCAACGTGGAAATAATCAACCACAGGTCAGAGAACTGTTGAGATTCCGTGATAAATTCTCGCTCAGTCAACAGAGTACAGAATTAACTAGCAACGAAAACACGCCGGACGTGATCTTCATAGACAATGATGAACTAATCAGAGACATTACAATCTCAGACACTACATACTCAGACAATAAGGTCATTGAAGTGCAAACTAACATGAATAACGGTAGTTGGTCCAAGAGAACCAACAAGTGAGAAGAGGTTTTCAATCAATTCAATTTCAACAATAAGTGGATCGACTGAGAAAAATAAATATAGACCTTGCAAACATTGAATGGAAGACGGTCTTAAGCGACAAAGCTCCCACACAGGGAGATCTGATCAACTGACAGCTGAAGCTTACAAGGTCTGCTTGAAGCACGTGCCTGTGAGGAGGGGCAGAAAGAGGACCAATCAAGAAAGACAACGCAGACGAGTGTACAGAAGGAAAAAAAAAATACAAAAATGCTTAAACAGACATGATCTTCACAACTAAGAAACCTAAAACTAAACAGGGAGATCGAAGAAATAGAGCAAAAGTTGAAGCGATCATACGAGTCTTTGAGGAAATGGCATTGGAACTGAAAGCTATTCAAGAGATAAAGAAACACCCAAAATATTTTTTCACATATGCAAAATTAAAATAAAAAATCTCCACCAGTATTGGACCGTTAATTACAACTGAAGGTCCGTACACAGAGGACAACAAAGAAATTAGTGAAATTCTAAGAAGCCAGTATGAGGTTATGTTTAGCACACCAATAAACAACATGAAAGTTGAAGATCCAGACAACTTCTTTATGAATAACATCCAAGCTCCAGATAATATAACAGATAAAAAAATCCTTAGGAGCCGTGATGAGGATTCGAACCTCTGTGGTAGGTAGTCCCCCCTCACACGCCACAGACAATCAAGCCACGACAAGGTCAAAGAATTGCAACCTGGAGTTGCAATCCTTTGCAATGTCTGGGGCGGGTACGTGGGACTACCCACCGCATAGGTCCGAACCCTCATCACGGTTCCTAAACATTTTCTCACTGATACATTACCTTAGTGTGATTACTGTGGATTGAAAGATGAGCGGGAAAGGTAGAACATTTCTGGACGACAACCCGGCTCTTGGGGTGGAGTGCTCGGCCAGTCTTCCTCCAGACTTTCCTTGTTGTCAGCCTTCATTCAAGCTTCGTTGTCACCCCTCAACTTCACCACCTTTTAATGGTCATCACAGTTTTACTTTTGGTCATCACAGTTTGGTCATCACAGTTTTTTTTCCCGTCATTTAACTTGTAAGATAGATTTTGTAAATCATTCATTGCCCTTTAAGTTAAAATGTTATTTACAAATCTTCAATTGGTGGCTTGGCTCATTTTAATAACCTCCCGCATGATGAGTGGCCGTGAGACAGAACACACCCTGAGAGTGTGTTGTGTCTCACTAATACAAGTGAGACACAACACACCCTGAGAGTGTGTTGTGTCTCACTAATACAAGTGAGACACAACACACCCTGAGAGTGTGTTGTGTCTCACTAATACTAGTGAGACACAACACACCCTGAGAGTGTGTTGTGTCTCACTAATACAAGTGAGACACAACACACCCTGAGAGTGTGTTGTGTCTCACTAATACAAGTGAGACACAACACACCCTGAGAGTGTGTTGTGTCTCACTAATACTAGTGAGACACAACACACCCTGAGAGTGTGTTGTGTCTCACTAATACTAGTGAGACACAACACACCCTGAGAGTGTGTTGTGTCTCACTAATACTAGTGAGACACAACACACCCTGAGAGTGTGTTGTGTCTCACTAATACTAGTGAGACACAACACACCCTGAGAGATTAGGTTTTGGCCCTTAATGAACCCTAACAAGTGTAGGGCTACGAGGAGCTGACTACCTGAAGACTTCCTCCTCCTCCTCCTCCTGCAGCAAGGACTGGGGGTCGTGTCTGGAGGACGAGCCGCCCCAGGTGGAGTACACCTTCCCGCAGCTGCCGCCGGGCGCCATGTACGACGCCGACCACCAGTGCCGCCTCAGCTTCGGCGCCGACGCCACCCACTGCTCGGGCCTGGAGGGCCCCGAGAGGGTCTGCCAGACGCTCTGGTGCCACTTAGACAACCGCTGCATCACCAGGATGGAGCCAGCTGCAGAAGGCACCCAGTGTGGCAAGCACAAGGTCAGTGGGTGTAGCATAGGGTCAGTGGGTGTAGCATAGGGTCAGTGGGTGTAGCATAGGGTCAGTGGGTGTAGCATAGGGTCAGTGGGTGTAGCATAGGGGTCAGTTTGTGTAGCATAGGGTCAGTGGGTGTAGCATAGGGTCAGCGGGTGTAGCATAGGGTCAGTGGGTGTAGCATAGGGTCAGTGGGTGTAGCATAGGGTCAGTGGGTGTAGCATAGGGTCAGTGGGTGTAGCATAGGGTCAGTGGGTGTAGCATAGGGTCAGTGGATGTAGCACAAGGTCAGTGGGTGTAGCATAGGGTCAGTGGGTGTAGCATGGGGTCAGTGGGTGTAGCACAAGGTCAGTGGGTGTAGCACAAGGTCAGTGGGTGTAGCATAGGGTCAGTGGGTGTAGCATAGGGTCAGTGGGTGTAGCATAGGGTCAGTGGGTGTAGCATAGGGTCAGTGGGTGTAGCATAGGGGTCAGTGGCTGTAACATAGAGTGAGTGGGTGTGGCATAGGGATCAGTGGGTGCAGCATAGGGTCAGTGGGTGTAGCATAGGGGTCAGTGGGTGTAGCATAGAGTCAGTGGCTGTAGCATAGGGTCAGTGGGTGTAGCATAGGGTTAGTGGGTGTAGCATAGGGTCAGTGGTTGTAGCATAGGGGTCAGTGGGTGTAGCATAGGGTCAGTGGGTGTAGCATAGGGTCAGTGGTTGTAGCATAGGGGTCAGTGGGTGTAGCATAGGGTCAGTGGGTGTAGCATAGGGTCAGTGGGTGTAGCATAGGGTCAGTGGGTGTAGCATAGGGTCAGTGGGTGTAGCATAGGGGTCAGTTTGTGTAGCATAGGGTCAGTGGGTGTAGCATAGGGTCAGCGGGTGTAGCATAGGGTCAGTGGGTGTAGCATAGGGTCAGTGGGTGTAGCATAGGGTCAGTGGGTGTATCATAGGGTCAGTGGGTGTAGCATAGGGTCAGTGGGTGTAGCATAGGGTCAGTGGGTGTAGCATAGGGTCAGTGGGTGTAGCATAGGGTCAGTGGGTGTAGCATAGGGTCAGTGGGTGTAGCATAGGGTCAGTGGGTGTAGTATAGGGTCAGTGGGTGTAGCATAGGGTCAGTGGGTGTAGCATAGGGTCAGTGGGTGTAGCATAGGGTCAGTGGGGTGTAGCATAGGGTCAGTGGATGTAGCACAAGGTCAGTGGGTGTAGCATAGGGTCAGTGGGTGTAGCATGGGGTCAGTGGGTGTAGCACAAGGTCAGTGGGTGTAGCACAAGGTCAGTGGGTGTAGCATAGGGTCAGTGGGTGTAGCATAGGGTCAGTGGGTGTAGCATAGGGTCAGTGGGTGTAGCATAGGGTCAGTGGGTGTAGCATAGGGTCAGTGGGTGTAGCATAGGGTCAGTGGGTGTAGCATAGGGTCAGTGGGTGTAGCATAGGGTCAGTGGGTGTAGCATAGGGGTCAGTGGCTGTAACATAGAGTGAGTGGGTGTGGCATAGGGATCAGTGGGTGCAGCATAGGGTCAGTGGGTGTAGCATAGGGGTCAGTGGGTGTAGCATAGAGTCAGTGGCTGTAGCATAGGGTCAGTGGGTGTAGCATAGGGTTAGTGGGTGTAGCATAGGGTCAGTGGTTGTAGCATAGGGGTCAGTGGGTGTAGCATAGGGTCAGTGGGTGTAGCATAGGGTCAGTGGTTGTAGCATAGGGGTCAGTGGGTGTAGCATAGGGTCAGTGGGTGTAGCATAGGGTCAGTGGGTGTAGCATAGGGTCAGTGGGTGTAGCATAGGGTCAGTGGGTGTAGCATAGGGGAAAGTTTGTGTAGCATAGGGTCAGTGGGTGTAGCATAGGGTCAGCGGGTGTAGCATAGGGTCAGTGGGTGTAGCATAGGGTCAGTGGGTGTAGCATAGGGTCAGTGGGTGTATCATAGGGTCAGTGGGTGTAGCATAGGGTCAGTGGGTGTAGCATAGGGTCAGTGGGTGTAGCATAGGGTCAGTGGGTGTAGCATAGGGTCAGTGGGTGTAGCATAGGGTCAGTGGGTGTAGCATAGGGTCAGTGGGTGTAGTATAGGGTCAGTGGGTGTAGCATAGGGTCAGTGGGTGTAGCATAGGGTCAGTGGGTGTAGCATAGGGTCAGTGGGTGTAGCATAGGGTCAGTGGATGTAGCACAAGGTCAGTGGGTGTAGCATAGGGTCAGTGGGTGTAGCATGGGGTCAGTGGGTGTAGCACAAGGTCAGTGGGTGTAGCACAAGGTCAGTGGGTGTAGCATAGGGTCAGTGGGTGTAGCATAGGGTCAGTGGGTGTAGCATAGGGTCAGTGGGTGTAGCATAGGGTCAGTGGGTGTAGCATAGGGGTCAGTGGCTGTAACATAGAGTGAGTGGGTGTGGCATAGGGATCAGTGGGTGCAGCATAGGGTCAGTGGGTGTAGCATAGGGGTCAGTGGGTGTAGCATAGGGGTCAGTGGGTGTAGCATAGAGTCAGTGGCTGTAGCATAGGGTCAGTGGGTGTAGCATAGGGTTAGTGGGTGTAGCATAGGGTCAGTGGTTGTAGCATAGGGGTCAGTGGGTGTAGCATAGGGTCAGTGGGTGTAGCATAGGGTCAGTGGTTGTAGCATAGGGGTCAGTGGGTGTAGCATAGGGTCAGTGGGTGTAGCATAGGGGTCAGTGGGTGTAGCATAGGGTCAGTGGGTGTAGCATAGGGTCAGTGGGTGTAGCATAGGGTCAGTGGGTGTAGCATAGGGGTCAGTGGGTGTAGCATAGGGTCAGTGGTTGTAGCATAGGGGTCAGTGGGTGTAGCATAGGGTCAGTGGGTGTAGCATAGGGGTCAGTGGGTGTAGCATAGGGTCAGTGGGTGTAGCATAGGGTCAGTGGTTGTAGCATAGGGTCAGTGGGTGTAGCATAGGGTCAGCGGGTGTAGCATAGGGTCAGTGGGTGTAGCATAGGGGTCAGTGGGTGTAGCATAGGGTCAGTGGTTGTAGCATAGGGTCAGTGGGTGTAGCATAGGGTCAGTGGGTGTAGCACAAGGTCAGTGGGTGTAGTACAAGGTCAGTGGGTGTAGCACAAGGTCAGTGGGTGTAGCACAAGGTCAGTGGGTGTAGCATAGGGTCAGTGGGTGTAGCACAAGGTCAGTGGGTGTAGCATAGGGTCAGTGGTTGTAGCATAGGGTCAGTGGGTGTAGCACAAGGTCAGTGGTGTAGCACAAGGTCAGTGGGTGTAGCATAGGGTCAGTGGGTGTAGCACAAGGTTAGTGGGTGTAGCACAAGGTCAGTGGGTGTAGCATAGGGTCAGTGGGTGTAACATAGGGTCAGTGGGTGTAGCATAGCGTCAGTGGGTGTAGCATAGGGTCAGTGGGTGTAGCATAGGGTCAGTGGGTGTAGCATAGGGTTCACTGGGTGTAGCATAGGGTCAGTGGTTGTAGCATAGAGTCAGTGGGTGTAGCATAGAGTCAGTGGGTGTAGCATAGGGTCAGTGGGTGTAGCATAGAGTCAGTGGGTGTAGGATAGAGTTAGTGGGCGTAGCATAGAGTCAGTGGGTGTAGCATAGGGTCAGTGGGTGTAGCATAGGGTCAGTGGGTGTAGCATAGGGTCAGTGGTTGTAGCATAGGGTCAGTGGGTGTAGCATAGGGTCAGTGGGTGTAGCATAGGGTCAGTGGGTGAGGCATAGGGTCAGTGGGTGTAGCATAGGGGTCAGTGGGTGTAGCATAGGGGTCAGTGGGTGTAGCATAGGGACAGTGGGTGTAGCATAGGGGTCAGTGGGTGTAGCATAGGGTCAGTGGGTGTAGCATAGGGTCAGTGGGTGTAGCATAAAGTCAGTGGGTGTAGCATAGGGTCAGTGGGTGTAGCATAGGGGTCACTGGGTGTAGCATAGGGTCAGTGGGTGTAACATAAGTTCAGTGGGTGTAGCATAGGGTTCAGTGGGTTTAGCATAGAGTAAGTGGGTGTAGCATAGAGTCAGAGGGTGTAGCATAGGGTCAGTGGGTGTAGCATAGAGTCAGAGGGTGTAGCATAGGGTCAGTGGGTGTAGCATAGGGGTCAGTGGGTGTAGCATAGGGTTAGTGGGCGTAGCATAGGGTTAGTGGGCGTAGCATAGGGTTAGTGTGTGTGTAGCATAGGGTCAGTGGGTGTGTAGCATAGGGTCAGTGGGTGTAACATAGAGTCAGTGGGTGTAGGATAGAGACAGTGGGTGTAGGAAAAGTCAGTGGGTATAGCATAGGGTCAGTGGGGGTAGCATAGGGTCAGTGGGTGTAGCATAGGGTCAGTGGGTGTAACATAAGGTCAGTGGGTGTAACATAAGGTCATTGGGTGTAGCATAGGGTCAGTGGGTGTCGCGTAGGGTCAGTGGGTGTAACATAAGGTCAGTGGGTGTAGCATAGGGTCAGTAGGTGTAGCATAGGGTCAGTGGGTGTAGCATAGGGTCAGTGATTGTAGTATAGGGTTAGTGGGTGTAGCATAGGGTCAGTGGGTGTAGCCTTAGGGTCAGTGGGTGTAGCATAGGGTCAGTGGGTGTGGCATAGGGTCAGTGGGTGTAGCATAGAGTCAGTGGGTGTAGCATAGGGTCAGTGGGTGTAGCATAGGGTTAGTGGATGTAGGATACCTGGTTGATGGGGTTCTGGGAGTTCTTCTGCTCACCAAGCCCGGCCCGAGGCCAGACTTGACTTGTGAGAGTTTGGTCCACTAGGCTGTTGCTTGGAGCGGCCCGCAAGCCCACGTACCTACCACAGCCCGGTTGGTCCGGCACTCCTTGAAGGAAACAATCTAGTTTCCTCTTGAAGATGTTCACGGTTGTTCCTGCAATATTTTTGATGCTCGCTGGGAGGACGTTAAACAACCGTGGACCTCTGATGTTCATACAGTGTTCTCTGATTGTGCCTATGGCACCTCTGCCCTTCACTGGTTCTATTCTGCATTTTCTTCCATGTAGTTCACTCCAGTACGTTGTTATTTTACTGTGCAGATTTGGGACCTGGCCCTCCAATATTTTCCATGTGTATATTATTTAGTATCTCTCTCGTCTCCTTTCTAGCGAGTACATTTGGAGAGCTTTGAGACGATCCCAATAATTTAGGTGCTTTATCTCGTCTATGCGTGCCGTATATGTTCTCTATATTCCCTCAATTTCAGCAATATCTCCTGCTCTGAAGGGGGAAATGAGTACTGAGCAGTACTCAAGACGGGACAACACAAGTGATTTGAAGAGTACAACCATTGTGATGGGAACTCTGGATTTGAAGGTTCTCGTAATCCATCCTATCATTTTTCTGGCTGACGCAATACTTGCTTGGTTATGCTCCCTAAACGCTAGGTCGTCGGACATCATTATTCCCAAATCCTTGACATGCTGTTTTCCTACTATGGGCAGATTCGATTGTGTCTTGTGCCCTGTATTATGTTTAAGATCCTCATTTTTGCCGTATCTGAGTACCTGGAATTTAACACCGGTAAACATCATGTTATTTTCTGATGCCCAGTCGAAAACTTTATTAATATCAGCTTGAAGTTTTTCAATGTCCTCAGCCGAGGTAATTTTCATACTGATTTTTGTGTCATCTGCAAAGGATGATATGAAGCTGTGACCTGTATTTTTGTCTATATCTGATATGAGAATAAGGAAAAGCAGCGGTGCAAGGACTGTACCCTGAGGTACAGAGCTTTTCACTGCATTTGGACTAGATTTTATATGGTTGACAGTTACTCGCTGAGTCCTGTTTGACTGAAAACAGAGTATCCAGCGTCCTACTTTACCGGTTATTCCCATTGACTTCATTTTGTGTGCTATCACGCCATGGTCACATTTATCGAAAGCCTTTGCGAAATCCGTGTATATCACATCCGCATTCTGTTTCTCTTCTAATGCCTCAGTGACTTTGTCGTAGTGCTCAAGTAGCTGTGAGAGGCACGATCTTCCCGCTCGAAATCCATGTTGGCCTGGGTTGTGAAGGTCATTGGTCTCCATGAAATTGGTGACCTGACTCCTAATCACTCTCTCAAATACTTTTATGATGTGCGATGTTAGTGCAACTGGTCTATAATTTTTTGCCAATGCTTTGCTCCCTCCCTTGTGTAGAGGGGCTATGTCTGCTACTTTAAGTGCATCTGGTATCTCCCCCGTGTCCAAGCTCTTCCTCCACACTATACTGAGTGCCTGTGCTACCGGCACTTTGCATTTCTTTATAAATATTGAATTCCATGAGTCTGGACCTGGGGCCGAGTGCATGGGCATGTTTTCAATTTCTTTTTCAAAATTTAGTGCGCTCGTGTTTATATCAGTTATATTTACAGGAGTTTGAATATCCCGCATAAAGAAATTGTCTGGATCTTCCACCTTCATGTTGTTTATTGGAGTGCTAAACATGTCCTCATACTGCTTTTTTAGGATTTCACTAATTTCTTTGTCATCCTCCGTGTATGAACCTTCACTTGTACGAATAGGTCCAATACTGGCAGTGGTTTTTGCTTTTGATTTCGCATATGAGAAAAAATATTTTGGATTTTTCTTTATTTCCTGAATGGCTTTCTGTTCTAACTGCGTTTCTTCAGTTTCATATGAGTGTTTCAATTTCCGCTCGATTTCTTCAATCTCCCTATTTAAATTATTTCTTCTTTGACGGGAAATTCGTGTCTGCATAACCAGTTCCGTTATTTTTTTCCTGCGTTTATAGTGTCGTCTGCGTTCTCTTTCTACGTTAGATCTCTTTCTGGCTTTCCTCAAAGGAACATGTTTCAGACAGACTTGATACGCTTCTGAAGTCAGTTTTTCTATTCCTTCTGTAGGACTTGTATTATTTAGAACAGTTCCCCATGGAATGTTTGTAAGTTCCCTGTTTATTATCTCCCAGTCTATCCTTTTATTATTAAAATTGAATTTAATGAATAGTCCCTCTCGCTTTATCAACGTTTTAGGTCTATTCTGAGTATTGATGGTCGTTTGCACTTCAATGAGCTTGTGATCTGAGTATGTGGTATCAGATATCGTAATGTCTCTGATAATGTCTTCATTGTTCGTAAAGACCAGATCTAGAATATTTTCATTTCTCGTTGGCTCCGATATCTGCTGATTGAGTGAAAATTTGTCACAGAATCTAAATAGTTCTCTAATCTGTGGTTGGTTAGGTCCTGATAGATTTCCTGGTATATTATTATTGTTTGCTATTTTCCACCTAAGACTAGGCAAGTTGAAGTCACCTAGGAAGATAATATCAGGTATCGGGTTCTCCAAATTATCAAGGCTATTCTCTATTTTGTTTATCTGTTCTGTGAATTCCTCAGCCGTTGCATCTGGCGGTTTGTATATTAGTATAATCACTAAATTTATTTTCTCTATTTTTAATCCCAGTACCTCTACCACCTCATTTGTAACGTTTAGGAGCTCCGAGCATACAAGGTCTTCCCAAATATACAGACCCACTCCTCCATGTGACCTAATTTTCCTATCACACCTGTGTAGGTTATATCCTGGAATCCAGATCTCACTGTCCAACAATTCCCCTGCATGGGTTTCTGTGAAAGCTCCAAATACTGCATTTGACTCCGTGAGGAAGCCATTTATGAACTGTACTTTGTTGTTTGTTCTTGTTTTCAGTCCTTGTATGTTGGCAAAGATGAATGAGGTTACTCTATTAGTGATAGTTTGAATGGGAGACTTTTTCGGCAAGTCCATTATTCGTGGACATAATGAGTTTGTTCTGACCAGTACTGATTGTTGTAGGCAGTTGTCTGTCGTAGTTGTAGTTCCCTTTCGGTGGGTAATTGTATCTGTAATTCTGGAATGCAAGTGGATCTGGCATCCAGTTCCATACACTCTCCATGCTGCTCCTTTTGAATTATCTGCCGGTCTGGTATAAAAAATTTATAGAGTTTCCTCCAAATTCATTATCCTGCTTGCCACTCTTTATGTAGCGTTCCGTGCCTTTCACGTGAAAGTGTGGGCAGCTGAGGTCATAGCATTTTCTGTCCTCCAGTGAAAACCTGGTGTACAGGTTCCTGAGTCTACTGGGCTCTATTATATCTACACTTGAAACTGTGTATGGAGTCAGCCTCCACCACATCACTGCCTAATGCATTCCATCTGTTAACTACTCTGACACTGAAAAAGTTCTTTCTAACGTCCCTGTGGCTCATTTGGGTACTCAGTTTCCACCTGTGTCCCTTTGTTCGTGTACCACCCCTGTTAAACAGTTTATCTTTATTCCCTGTCAATTCCTCTAAGAATTTTGTAGGTAGTGATCATGTCTCCCCTTATTCGTCTGTCTTTCAGTGTTGTGTGGTGCATTTCCTGCAGCCTTTCCTCGTAACTCATGCCTCTTAGTTCTGGGACCAGTCTAGTGGCATACCTCTGAACTTTTTCCAGCTTCGTCTTGTGCTTGGCAAGGTACGGGCTCCATGCTGGGGCCGCATACTCCAGGATTGGTCTTGTGTGTGCGTGTGTGTGCTTGCGTGCGTGTGCATGTCTGTGCGTGCGTGCGTGTGAATGTCTGTGCGTGCGTGCGTGTGCATGTCTGTGCGTGCGTGCGTGCGTGTGCATGTCTGTGCGTGCGTGCGTGCGTGTGCATGTCTGTACGTGCGTGGGGTCGGGGAACCTGGACACCACTCACAGTGCCACTAACACCATTCTGTGCGTGCGTGCGTGTGCACAGTGGTGTGCGTCGGGGGAGTGCGTGACCATCGGGGACCGGCCGGCGGCCATCCACGGCAACTGGGGGGAGTGGTCGTCGTGGTCGTCGTGCAGCAGGACCTGCGGCGCCGGCGTCGCCTCCGCCAGCAGACACTGCGACAACCCCGCCCCGGCCAACGGCGGCAGGTACTGTACCGGCGACAGGAAGAAGTACCGAATCTGCAGTACTCAGGTGAGCGGGCCAGGAGGTGGGGGGGGAGGGGGGATGGGTGGGGTGGGGGTGTGGGGGGGGGGTGTGGGGGAGGGGTTGTAGATCACATATTCGCTAATATACCCCCATACATCAATATATGCCACCTCACCCACAACATTGCATATATATATATATATATATATATATATATATATATATATATATATATATATATATATATATATATATATAATGTCGTACCTAGTAGCCAGAACGCACTTCTCTGCCTACTATGCATGGCCCGATTTGCCTAATAAGCCAAGTTTTCCTGAATTAATATATTTTCTCTAATTTTTTTCTTATGAAATGATAAAGCTACCCATTTCATTATGTATGAGGTAAATTTTTTTTATTGGAGTTAAAATTAACGTAGATATATGACCGAACCTAACCAACCCTACCTAACCTAACCTAACCTATCTCTATAGTTTAGGTTAGGTTAAGTAGCCGAAAAAGTTAGGTTAGGTTAGGTTAGGTAGGTTAGGTAGTCGAAAAACAATTAATTCATGAAAACTTGGCTTATTAGGCAAATATGGCCTTGCATTGTAGGCAGAGAAGTGCGTTCTGGCTACTAGGTACGACATTATATATATATATATATATATATATATATATATATATATATATATATATATATATATATATATATATATATATATATATATATATATATATATAATATGTCGTACCTAGTAGCCAGAACGCACTTCTCAGCCTACTATGCAAGGCCCGATTTGCCTAATAAGCCAAGTTTTCATGAATTAATTGTTTTTCGACTACCTAACCTACCTAACCTAACCTAACTTTTTCGGCTACCTAACCAAACCTAACCTATAAAGATAGATTAGGTTAGGTAGGGTTGGTTAGGTTCGGTCATATATCTACGTTAATTTTAACTCCAATAAAAAAAAATTGACCTCATACATAATGAAATGGGTAGCTTTATCATTTCATAAGAAAAAAAAATAGAAAAAATATATTAATTCAGGAAAACTTGGCTTATTAGGCAAATCGGGCCTTGAATAGTAGGCCAAAAAGTGAGTTCTGGCTACTAGGTACGACATATATATATATATATATATATATATATATATATATATATATATATATATATATATATATATATATATATATATATATATAAAGTAGACAAAATATTGGTAGAACTTGACCTTAACCTCTTCTATATTAGCTTATACATGACGTGTTTATGTCTGCTGGTGTCTACTGTGTGACAATGTCTGCTGGTGTCTGGTGTGTGACCATGTCTGCTGGTGTCTACTGTGTGACAATGTCTGCTGGTGTCTGGTGTGTGACAATGTCTGCTGGTGTCTGGTGTGTGACAATGTCTGCTGGTGTCTGGTGTGTGACAATGTCTGCTGGTGTCTACTGTGTGACAATGTCTGCTGGTGTCTGGTGTGTGACAATGTCTGCTGGTGTCTACTGTGTGACAATGTCTGCTGGTGTCTGGTGTGTGACAATGTCTGCTGGTGTCTACTGTGTGACAATGTCTGCTGGTGTCTGGTGTGTGACCATGTCTGCTGGTGTCTGGTGTGTGACAATGTCTGCTGGTGTCTACTGTGTGACAATGTCTGCTGGTGTCTGGTGTGTGACCATGTCTGCTGGTGTCTGGTGTGTGACCATGTCTGCTGGTGTCTACTGTGTGACAATGTCTGCTGGTGTCTGGTGTGTGTGACAATCTCTGCTGGTGTCTGGTGTGTGACCATGTCTGCTGGTGTCTGGTGTGTGACCATGTCTGGTGGTGTCTACTGTGTGACAATGTCTGCTGGTGTCTGGTGTGTGACCATGTCTGCTGGTGTCTGGTGTGTGACCATGTCTGCTGGTGTCTACTGTGTGACAATGTCTGCTGGTGTCTGGTGTGTGACAATGTCTGCTGGTGTCTGGTGTGTGACAATGTCTGCTGGTGTCTGGTGTGTGACAATGTCTGCTGGTGTCTGGTGTGTGACAATGTCTGCTGGTGTCTGGTGTGTGACCATGTCTGCTGGTGTCTGGTGTGTGACCATGTCTGCTGGTGTCTGGTGTGTGACAATGTCTGCTGGTGTCTGGTGTGTGACCATGTCTGCTGGTGTCTGGTGTGTGACCATGTCTGCTGGTGTCTACTGTGTGACAATGTCTGCTGGTGTCTGGTGTGTGTGACAATGTCTGCTGGTGTCTGGTGTGTGACCATGTCTGCTGGTGTCTGGTGTGTGACCATGTCTGGTGGTGTCTACTGTGTGACAATGTCTGCTGGTGTCTGGTGTGTGACCATGTCTGCTGGTGTCTGGTGTGTGACCATGTCTGCTGGTGTCTACTGTGTGACAATGTCTGCTGGTGTCTGGTGTGTGACAATGTCTGCTGGTGTCTGGTGTGTGACAATGTCTGCTGGTGTCTGGTGTGTGACAATGTCTGCTGGTGTCTGGTGTGTGACAATGTCTGCTGGTGTCTGGTGTGTGACCATGTCTGCTGGTGTCTGGTGTGTGACCATGTCTGCTGGTGTCTGGTGTGTGACAATGTCTGCTGGTGTCTGGTGTGTGACAATGTCTGCTGGTGTCTGGTGTGTGACCATGTCTGCTGGTGTCTGGTGTGTGACCATGTCTGCTGGTGTCTGGTGTGTGACCATGTCTGCTGGTGTCTGGTGTGTGACAATGTCTGCTGGTGTCTGGTGTGTGACAATGTCTGCTGGTGTCTGGTGTGTGACCATGTCTGCTGGTGTCTGGTGTGTGACTATGTCTGCTGGTGTCTGGTGTGTGACCATGTCTGCTGGTGTCTACTGTGTGACAATGTCTGCTGGTGTCTGGTGTGTGACCATGTCTGCTGGTGTCTGGTGTGTGACCATGTCTGCTGGTGTCTACTGTGTGACAATGTCTGCTGGTGTCTGGTGTGTGACAATGTCTGCTGGTGTCTGGTGTGTGACCATGTCTGCTGGTGTCTGGTGTGTGACCATGTCTGCTGGTGTCTACTGTGTGACAATGTCTGCTGGTGTCTGGTGTGTGACCATGTCTGCTGGTGTCTGCTGTGTGACCATGTCTGCTGGTGTCTGGTGTGTGACCATGTTTGCTGGTGTCAGGTGTGTGACCATGTCTGCTGGTGTCTGGTGTGTGACAATGTCTGCTGGTGTCTGGTGTGTGACAATGTCTGCTGGTGTCTGGTGTGTGACAATGTCTGCTGGTGTCTGGTGTGTGACAATGTCTGCTGGTGTCTGGTGTGTGACAATGTCTGCTGGTGTCTGGTGTGTGACAATGTCTGCTGGTGTCTGGTGTGTGACAATGTCTGCTGGTGTCTGGTGTGTGACAATGTCTGCTGGTGTCTGGTGTGTGACAATGTCTGCTGGTGTCGTTGACAGGAGTGTGCTGAGAGCGGTGTGAGCTTCCGGGCCGTGCAGTGTTCCCAGCACGACTACCAACCCTACAAGGGCCACAACCACACCTGGCTCCCTGTCATGTTTCACCGTAAGTGTTCACTCTCTTCCACCTGGCACTTCCGGCACTGTTGGCACTCCTGGCCTGCACTTCCCGCAGTGTTGGCACTCCTGGCCTACACTTCCCGCACTGTTGGCACTCCTGGCCTACACTTTCCGCAGTGTTGGCACTCCTGGCCTGCAGTTCCGGCAGTGTTGGCACTCCTGGCCTACACTTCCCGCAGTGTTGGCACTCCTGGCCTACACTTCCCGCAGTGTTGGCACTCCTGGCCTGCACTTCCCGCAGTGTTGGCACTCCTGGCCTGCACTTCCCGCAGTGTTGGCACTCCTGGCCTACACTTCCCGCAGTGTTGGCACTCCTGGCCTGCACTTCCGGCAGTGTTGGCACTCCTGGCCTACACTTCCCGCAGTGTTGGCACTCCTGGCCTGCACTTCCCGCAGTGTTGGCACTCCTGGCCTACACTTCCCGCAGTGTTGGCACTCCTGGCCTGCACTTCCCGCAGTGTTGGCACTCCTGGCCTGCACTTCCCGCAGTGTTGGCACTCCTGGCCTGCACTTCCCGCAGTGTTGGCACTCCTGGCCTACACTTCCGGCAGTGTTGGCACTCCTGGCCTACACTTCTGGCAGTGTTGGCACTCCTGGCCTACACTTCTGGCAGTGTTGGCACTCCTGGCCTGCACTTCCCGCAGTGTTGACACTCCTGGCCTGCACTTCCCGCAGTGTTGGCACTCCTGGCCTGCACTTCCCGCAGTGTTGGCACTCCTGGCCTACACTTCCGGCAGTGTTGGCACTCCTGGCCTACACTTCTGGCAGTGTTGGCACTCCTGGCCTACACTTCTGGCAGTGTTGGCACTCCTGGCCTACACTTCCCGCAGTGTTGGCACTCCTGGGGTCCCTCCCTGGCCTGGGGTGGGGGGTGGGGGGCGGCTTGGACCACGACCCTCACCGTGGTGGGGTCGTGGATAAGAGAAGTAATTCCCAGCATAAATGTCCTCGCGGTCTGGTCTCTGACCAGGCCGCCTTGTTGATGGTCTGATTAGCCAGTCTGTTAGACGCGGCTGCTCGCAGCCTGACTTATGAATCACAGCCTGGTTGATCACGTATCGTTTGAAGGTGTTTATCGAGTTCTCTCTTGAACACTGTGAGGGGTCGGCCAGTTATGTCCCTTATGTGTAGTGGAAGCGTGTTGAACAGTCTCGGGCCTCTGATGTTGATAGTTCTCTCTCAGAGTACCTGTTGCACCTCTGCCCTTCAACAGGGGTATTCTGCACATGAGACCACATAACACTACATGAGGTACCACGAGGGTCAATTCTAGGGCCCATCCTGTTTCTAATATTTGTCAGTCACCTAACCAAGGAAATTGACTCCTCCATATCAATGTTTGCAGATGCAGAACTAATGACAAGAGTCAGGTCAGGGTTATACTTCGGTGCATTGCAAGCGGATATAGACACACTCCAAGAGTGGTATAAAAAATGGCTGCTAGAATTTATCCCAGACAAATGTAACGTTATGAGGATTGGAACAGGAGAGTGAAGACCAGTAGAGCAGTATAGGAAGAAAGGAAGACAAATTCCTCAACCAGAAAAGGAGAATGATCTGGGAATGGATATAACCCCAGATCTGATGCCAGAAGTCCACATTACCAGAATAACAACAGCTGCATACTGGCCTACATCCATGTTGGACAACTTGGACAAAGAACTTCAGAAACTTGGACGAAGGGGGCTTTCCGGGCCCTATATACAGCGAAGGTGAGAGCCACTCTTCAATATGCGTCCCCAGCATGGAACTCTTACCTGAACAGAACAAGAAGAGACTAGAAAAGGTTCAACGATATGCACTGAGACTACACACAGAAATCACAATAGTGTGACGCATCAAGTGAACAAATCCACAAGGGCCGTGACGAGGCGTCACGGCCCTTGTGGATTTGTTCAACGAGACTAGCTCCGTAACTGAGGTGGTTAAGCTATGAGGAAATACTGCGAGCGCTGGACCTACCACGCTGGAGGAGAGATAAGGGAGAAGTGATAACAACATATAAGATTCTAAGGAAAATTTACAAAGTAGACAAAGCAGTATTGTTCAGAGGAAGAAACAACAGAACGAGAGGTCATAGATGGAAACAAGAGACGCAAATGAGTCATAGAGATATGAGGAAGAACCTTTACAGTGTTAGAGCCATGTTGTTTTTATTCTATCAGTGTTAAAAGTGTTTGAACTCTGTTAGAACAAGTATTTGTCAGTGTCAATAAATGAAATAAGTTAGATGCAGACGTGGATGAAGCTAATTCAATATAGAAATAATAATGTAAATATGACAAAAGCGTGAAAAATGAATCATTGGCTTAATGTAAGAACGTTCGGAAGGCGGGGCTAGGAGCCTATCTCGACCCTGCAAGCACATCTAGGTCAGTACACACATCATTACTTAATATAAATCTTCAAATAATTCTCAAGTTGCCGAGCAAATCATTTACACGCATCAGAGGAGAGATGAGACCTCAACACCACAACTCTTCCCTCTGGCCACCTGATACTGTGAGTCACTGCCAGGGGCAGCGCCAGGGGACCAGGCACACACACCATATATATATATATATATATATATATATATATATATATATATATATATATATATATATATATATATATATATATATGTCGTACCTAGTAGCCAGAACGCACTTCTCAGCCTACTATGCAAGGCCCGATTTGCCTAATAAGCCAAGTTTTCCTGAATTAATGTATTTTCTCTAATTTTTTTCTTATGAAATGATAAAGCTACCCATTTCATTATGTATGAGGTCAATTTTTTTTTATTGGAGTTAAAATTAACGTAGATATATGACCGAACCTAACCAACCCTACCTAACCTAACCTAACCTATCTCTATAGGTTAGGTTCGGTTAGGTAACCGAAAAAGTTAGGTTAGGTTAGGTTAGGTAGGTTAGGTAGTCGAAAACAATTAATTCATGAAAACTTGGCTTATTAGGCAAACCGGGCTTGCGTAGTAGGCTGAGAAGTGCGTTCTGGCTACTAGGTACGACATATATATATATATATATATATATATATATATATATATATATATATATATATATATATATATATATATATATATATATATATATGTATATAATAATAATGTTAGTATATTTTGGTAGCAGTCTTTCTTGTAAACATATGTTGTTGAATATGACCGAAAAGGTAAGATTAATAATTTTAACACGAATTTTCTCAATGTTTCTTATGTTTTTCTTCACTGTCGAGGGTAATTGAAATATCAACTCTCCAAAATTAATTTTTATTTTTGGTCTGACGCCTAGAAGCGTTTCGTTACTCTTACATTCTTACATTCTCAGACTTGTTTATACATAACACTACACTTATGATACACTTGATACACTGTGTATGATACCTTTAACCTACATATTGCTTTTATATTCATTTTGGGTGAGGTGAAACAAAAGTTTTGGGTGAGGTGGGTATTGGGTGAGGTGGGTACATAAGAATGAAAATAACTGCAGAGGGCCTATTGGCCCATACGGGGTCTTCAAGTGGATAGAATGTAGGTATGCGTTAATTGGCTGTTCATTGCTGGTGTTGACTTTTTGATGTGTAGTGCCTCGCTGATGTCGAGCCTCCTGCTATCGCTGTGTCTATCGATGATTTCTCTGTTGTTTGTTAAGATTTCTCTGGTGATGGTCTGGTTGTGTGAAGAGATTATATATTCCTTGACGGAGCATTGTTGTTTGTGCATTGTTAATCGCCTGGAAAGAGATGTTGTTGTCTTACCTATATACTGAGTTCTTTGGGGCTTACAGTCCGCAAGTGGGCATTTATTGGGATAGACGACGTTGGTTTCCTTCAAGGCGTTCTGCTTTGTGTCTGGGGAGTTTTTCATGAGTAGGTTGGCCGTTATTTTGGTTTTATAGTAAATTGTCAATTGTATCTTCTGATTTTTGTCTGTAGGGATAACGTTTCTATTAACAATATCTTTCAGGACCCTTTCCTCCATTTTATGGGCCTTTATATATATATATATATATATTAGTATATTTTGGTAGCAGTCTTTCCTGTAGACATATATTATTAAATATGACCGAAAAAGTAAGATTAATAATTCTAACACGAATTTTCTCAATCTTTCGTACATTACGCTTCACTGTTGGAGGTAAATCAAAAATTAATTCTCCAAAATTCATTTTTATTTCTAGTCTGACGCGACACGGGCGCGTTTCGTAAAACTTATTACATTTTCAAAGACTTTAGTTCACAAATACACAACTGAATAGAACTTACGTATCTCCGATTTTATATCTATATTTGAGTGAGGTGGGAGGGGTGATGTGGCATTAACACAAGACAGAACAAGAGGGAATATTAATAGGGTATTAAAAGTATCAACACAAGACAGAACACAAACAATGGGTATTGAATAGAATTGTTTGTAGAAAGCCTATTGGTCCATATTTCTTGATGCTTCTATATTGGAGCGGAGTCTTGAGGTGGGTAGAATATAGTTGTGCAATAATTGGCTGTTGATTGCTGGTGTTGACTTCTTGATGTGTAGTGCCTCGCAAACGTCAAGCCGCCTGCTATCGCTGTATCTATCGATGATTTCTGTGTTGTTTACTAGGATTTCTCTGGCGATGGTTTGGTTGTGGGAAGAGATTATATGTTCCTTAATGGAGCCCTGTTGCTTATGCATCGTTAAACGCCTAGAAAGAGATGTTGTTGTCTTGCCTATATACTGGGTTTTTTGGAACTTACAGTCCCCAAGTGGGCATTTGAAGGCATAGACAACGTTAGTCTCTTTTAAAGCGTTCTGTTTTGTGTCTGGAGAGTTTCTCATGAGTAGGCTGGCCGTTTTTCTGGTTTTATAGTAAATCGTCAGTTGTATCCTCTGATTTTTGTCTGTAGGGATAACGTTTCTATTAACAATATCTCTCAGGACCCTTTCCTCCGTTTTATGAGCTGTGGAAAAGAAGTTCCTGTAAAATAGTCTAATAGGGGGTATAG